TTGCCATCATAAATTTGGAACCTCGGCATGCTGAATCTCTTTGGTGGTTCGAATTTGTCCAGTTCCACCGAGAAGGCTGTCTTTGGTTTTACTGGGGAGTTTACCTCGGCTTCAGCATTCTGTTGTCTCCTTTTGAGGTAGTCTCTCAGGTCTTCTTTGCTCCTCCCTGGAGCTCGGCTGTCTTTGGATTTTAGTCTTTTTGGTACACTGCTTTCGTCCTCGTGGTGGGCCCGTTTGGATCTTTCTCCATGGGTTGTGTCAAAGCAGAGTGCTTGCCTTTGAACATGCCGATGTTCTTTGGGCTCTGGATTCTTCATGTGGTGCGTCCTTCGGGACTCTTTTTGCCTCGGTTCTTCTCGTCCGACTTCCCTGGAAGGCCGGTGAGAATGCCTTCCGCTCCTGGTATGTTGAGGGACGTCGGGGATTGTTTTTCTTCCGCCTTTCTGGGCGTTGGTTGCTGGCATCGGCGTATCTTGCAGCGGGTATGGTGGCTGCATAACATTATTCTGCATCATGAAGTTGACGACTGACTGAAGGTCTGCCAACTTGTTCGCCAATTCTTTTACTTCCTCATCCCTCCGTAGGCATCTGTCCCTCCATACCTGGAGGTTATCTTCATTGTAGTACTTTCCTTGGTTTGTCCTTTTTGACGTGTCGCCCTCCGGGGTGACGTCGTTCTCTCTGTGACCCTGGTCACGGGCTTCTGTATTGTGGTTGTCTCCTTCAATGTCAAGGTCAATTGGTCTGCCACTCCCAGCGGGAGCGTCATCCCCAATATTTTCCTGCTGTCCGTTACTGGCCATCTATTCTTCCTTCGTTCCCACAGACGGTGCCAAATTGTGTGGGTGAAAATCTGACCACACTGCCTGCTTAGTGATCAACTAGAGAGCACAGGCAGAATAGATGGCTTTAGCAACCTGAAATAGAAAGAAAAGGCTCCGACGGTGATTCTTCCACCCGGGGGCACTCCGACGATCAAGTCAGTATATCTCTCAAAGATAATCAAGTGCAAAACTTAATACTCAAAACATAAATTGCATACCTTAGACCCACGGGGGTGCCTCTCTTTTATAATATACTCAATCCAAGTCCTACTAGAAGTATGACTTCTACGAACTCCAATTTAGTGCTTACTCTGGACTCTTTAAGAGATAAAGATAAACTCCCTAAGAGCTTTATCCTTATCTTGGTTAAGTCCCCTCTTCGTCTTAGAACTCTTGTCCTTTATTCGCTTTATCTCGGATTCCGATATCTTCGGAGATAACCTCAGCCTTGTCGAGATCACCTCGGCGTTACGACCAGGACACGTGGCACCTCGGCTGACACTCCGGCGTCACCTTGCCACGTGTTGATACTCAGAAAATATATCCCCACAATTATCATATCATTTTTGTAATAATAAATTCTATATATAAAAAAAAATTCTGATAGTTGAGCATTTTTCATAACTTTATTGATTCTAAAAGATTGAAATTTAGATATTAAAGTGTCGAATGTTGAAAAGTAGTGAAAATTCACATAATGTCAATTCTATTTTTTTAATTTGTTTTTTTTTTGTTTTGGATTAACTCATTTTCAGTTGAAATTTTAGTTAGATCATACAGTTGAGTGTTTTAACTGGTAAAAATCATTAAAAGAAATACTTTTACGGAAGATTTTTGTAGGTAAAATTTTTCGAAAAAATTTAACTGAATTATATTTTTATAAACTTTTATTGGTTATAAATCTCTTTTTATAATTCTTACCAATAAAAAATTTATATTTAATAATTTTTATCAATAATTTTTTTTAACTGTCTGATGTAATTAAACTCAACTTTTTGACCAAAAATTTACATTGCCCAGTGTGAACGAACATAAAACCGTTTTCCTGGAACGTGTCCGTGAGAGTGAGAGAAAAGACATTGTAGCGTTTTGAAAATGTGATAAAAAGTTAATTTTTTAATTTTTTTTTGATAAAAAATTAGGTTGTTTAAAGTAAAAAAATTGGCTTTTCTGGCAATTTCCATAAGACCCCATTGTCGCTCTTTCTCTCTCTACTTTCTCTCTCCTAATGTTGGTATACACCGATGACTGTTGGCTCTCAGTCAACCTTCTCTCTCCACCTCTAAAACCATTTTCGTCGTCTTCCCCTTGTTGTTTTCTTCAACTGTTTATACAATCCAATTTCACCAATTTTTTTTTACTTATCTGCCGATTCCAAATTAGAAGAGGAAAAAGAGAAAGAAACCCTAATTCCACAATTCATCCATCTCCAAACTCTTTATTGGGTTGGAGCTTTTTCAGTTCCAGACGATGCCCAATCGTCTGATGAGAGTTGGGTTTTCCTGATAATTTCTCCTAAAGGTTTCGAGATCCAAGTCAAAGGTAATCATTGTGTTTGTTTGTTTGCTTTTTTTTTTTCCCCCCCTTTTCTTTTGGAGGACTGTGTGTGTGTGTGTGTGTTCTTCCTGATAATTGGTTTTTTTGCACTGCTTTAATTCATGTATGCTTGTGATTTTGTGTTCAATTGTGGTTGAATTTCAGTCTCATTATTTAAAATACATGTTTTACGATGAAAGATGTGAATTTTAGTCTGCATCTGCTATGATGATGCTCAACTGATTTCAATGTTCTTCAGATTCTTGCCAAATTTGGTGATGTTGAGTCAGTTTGTTTGTTCAACAATTAGTAGCATGGCCTTTTGATTGAATACTATACTCATCATAACAGTGGGTAATTTAAATGGAAAGCATGTGTGTGTGTGTGTGTGTGTGTGTGTGTGTGTGTGTGTGTGTAGAGAGAGAGAGAGAGAGAGAGAGAGAGAGAGAGAGTTCAATGTTGTCTACCTTTGGCTGTCTAATTCCAAATTGAGTTCAAGGGGAGGTGGTTAATGTTTGTATATAAAGTGTATTGAAATATGTGAAAAATGTATAGAAATATGTAAAAGTGTATGAGAATATGTGAAATTTGAATTGGAATTCTAACTTTTTTTTGGCATTATTTGATTCTTAACGATCACCAATCCATTGTTACCAGAAACCCTTCCAAATTTAACAGTAGGGTCTAAGTTGGTTTGCAACTGAATTCTTGAGCTTTTAACAAAGACTTATTTGTTATATTTTACATTCCTCTTTGCTTTTTCTCATGTAGGTTCACTTTAATTCCAATATTGTTTTGATCCTTCCTCATGCACCTTTTTCCTACTAAATATTATATATTTATGCTCTTTTTTTTTTTTTTTTTGGAAAGGGGGAGGGGAGGGCGGGGGGTGGGAAATGGAGTGAGAGCAATTGTCAAGACTTGGAACATGCATGATGACCCTTTAATAGTTGTAACAGTTAATGCTACTAGACTTTTTGACATCCTTGCAAGCCACCTTTTTATTTTTTTTCCCCTAGAATTATTCTCTTCGAATCACAAATTTATGTAGGCCTCATTTATATATTGTTGTTGCCAATGCTTTATTTTTTCCTTTTAGGAATTGAATATTTTTCGCCTTTCTATGTATAATCCCCAGTGGTCTAGTAGTTTTGAATTTTATTTTTATTTTTTTGTCAACAGGTACTTAATATCTGATGGCTGGAAGCTACGATGGAAGTTATGACCTTGGTAGCCAGTCAGATGAGAGCTATCATTTTGAGAGAGTACACATAGAGCCTATATATGATGCATTTATATGCCCTTTAACAAAACAAATTATGCGCGATCCTGTTACCTTAGAAAATGGACAAACTTTTGAGCGAGAAGCCATTGAAAAGTGGTTCAAAGAATGCAAGGAGAGCGGAAAAACGCTGCTTTGTCCGTTGACTCTAAAAGAATTAAGAAGTACAGAAATGAACCCGAGTATAGCTCTGCGGAACACTATTGAAGAATGGAATGCCAGGAATGAAGCTGTTCAACTTGATATGGCTCGAAAGTCATTATATCTGACCAGTCCAGAGAATGAAATTATGCAGAGTTTGAAGTTTGTCCAGTACCTCTGCCATAAAAGCCGGTCAAATAAACATGTTATTCGGAACGAGGAGCTGATACCTATGATTGTTGACATGTTGAAGAGCAGCAGTCGTAGAGTTCGTTGCAAAGCTTTGGAAACTCTTCGAATTGTAGCAGAGGAAGACTCTGATAATAAGGTGGGTCATTGTTCAAATTATCCAACAATCAGGGCATGGATGCAATTAATGCGTCTTATTTATGACTTTTTTTATTTTAATTTTATGTAGGAGATAATGGCTGAAGGGGACACAGTACGAACAATAGTTAAGTTCTTGTCTCATGAGCAATCGAAAGAGAGGGAAGAGGCTGTCTCTCTGCTGTTTGAGCTCTCCAAGTCTGAAACTTTGTGTGAAAAGATTGGTTCTGTTAATGGAGCAATTCTTATATTGGTTGGAATGACTAGCAGCAAATCAGAAAATTTGTTGACTGTTGAGAAGGCTGAGCAAACTTTGGACAATCTCGCTAAGTGTGAGAATAATGTAAGGCAAATGGCTGAAAATGGTAGATTGCAACCTCTTTTGACACTACTCCTTGAAGGTATTTCCACTATCATCATTAGTTACGCGCTGATTTGCTTGCAAAAAATGTACCTTTTTTGCAAAAAGCAGAACATAAGTTTTATTCTTTGATATTTAGAATGGACATAACAATTTTCCACGTGGAATGAAAGTCCGTTGTTGACAAGAGGTCCTGTGGTACAACTTTATAAAACTGACGAGGTAGAATAATTAAGGGGGTTAATGGAGATCGGGAATGAGGCAACAATTAAGAACTTAGTTTATTTAGGAGTTAAAGTTTAATTAGGTTTTTATATCTTAATATTTTTTTTGTTGCCTTATTGGATTGTTCCTTTACTTTGGTCTGTCTATGTATAGGACTTGAGTGTATTGAATTATTAGAGTTATTGCCATAATATTGAGAACAGAACTTATATACTTCACCCCTCTCTCTCAGGACGTCTCGTCTTCTTATTCTTCTCTTCTTGCCCTACTCTTGTCTGGCTACTTTCCCTTTTCTGCTTCTTCTTTCCTTCTACTGTTTGCTGCATCCATTTGGTATCAGACAATCCACAATCCTTTTTCATCAATTTTGGTATCAGACAATCCACCCAGCCCATCGGACCACACCAAAAATCAGGCCAGATTAGAACCAGAACAGCCTTGGAACAGCCAAACCCAACCCAATCTAAACCAGTTTAAAAAAAATAAAAATAAAAGATAAAATTGTTTGATGTGGTTGATATGGTTGGAGCGGAATAGGCGCATTTTTCAGGGTGTGTCTTAGTTGGTTCTGTGGTTGGAGCGGCGGATGCTCACTGTGCTTCATAGTCGGGTTACGGTTATGGTAGATCCAGACGTGTTAGCTTTTGTTGATTTTGTAGATGATTTGATTAGTTAGGCTTTGGGCTGTTCTAGGCTTCATTTTTGTATTATTTGCATCGTCTCGATGCTTGTCTAATAAAATTTTTTTGTTTATCAAAAAAAATTATTGCATACACTTTGTAGCTTTTGGGTGGGGGCGGGGTTGAGGGTGGCAGCAGTGCAGCTTGTGATTTGGAGTTGGAGTTGGAGTTGGGGGTGAGGGTGGGGGTGGGGGTGGGGGTGTTGCTAAAGCTTCCAAAAAACTGCATAATTCCGAAAAGAATTGTGGCAAAGACTCTGAACTAACTGTCTCAGAGAAGTAGTTCTCATATGTTAATTTCCCCAGAAACAAAAAACCCAGTTGAACAAATACTTGAATCAGGAAAATTATTGTTAAAATCCTCACTAACTGCTCCAATATGAATCTCGCCTAGCTTATTTATACACAAACCACAACAATACAAAAAAGTCCAGTCATATGAACCTCCGTTTATTTCAATGAGTTCTCCATCAGTTACAATTACAACTAATAGATTCACTGTGAACCACAATGACCTGATGCTTTAGATTCAAATCTTCATTTTGTGGAAGATGGTGGTGTTGGTAGAGGTGGTGGTGGTGGTGGAGTGATGCCGCAGGGGCAGTGGATGTGGAGGAGGAGGAGGAGGAGGAGGTGGTGGTGGTGGTGGTGGTGGTGGTAGTGGTAGTGGTAGTGGAGTGGTGGTTGGGATACCCATTTAAACAGGTTTAAACAAGTACTCATGTCCAATAAAAAAAAAGCACCGACACTTCAAAAAAAAGGGGCGGTGGATGTGGCGGTGCCGGTGGTGGTGGTGGTGGTGGAGCGATGGTTGGGGTGGTGATGGTGCTGGAGGAAGTGATACCCATTTAAATGTGTTTAAACAAGTACTCATGTCCAATCAATTTAAGCTCGATTTTAATTGGGTTCGCAAGGAGTTATGAAGCACCGACACTTCAAAAAAAGTGTCATATCTATATCAGACACATGGACACTTCAGGACATCCGGACACGGCGAGGACATATGGCATGTCCTCTTATTTAATTAATTTATTTTCAAGGGACACTTCGGGGATACACTAGGGACATGTCAAATTGTCTTTTCCTCCATTTTCTTTAGTGCTTTTGATGAACGTTGAATATTTATTATTTTTTTCTATATTTAAATACTTAATAGATCATTCATAAAAAGAAGATAGAAATTGTAAGTATTAATTTTTTTTAAAAAAAATTATTAAAAAAAACATAGAATTAGAGTTATTTTTGTTAATATTGATTGTTTGTGGATATAATATTAATTTATATAGCAAATAAAAATATTTTTATTGCCGTGTCCCCGCCATATTCGTATCTTCATTTTTTTGTAATTGCCGTGTCTGCATCTATGTCCATGTCCGTGTCTGTATCTATGCCTGTACTTCTTAGGCAAGGAGTAACCCATTTATAGATTTGGATAGATTTAAACGGATTTTAAATTGGTGTAATCGGGCGGATTTATGGGTTCAGGTTGAGCTTGCCAATTCAGGCATCCTCTCTTGAAGACTTGATTAATTTATATACATTTTTTTGTGAGTCAATAAATTATACTAATGGACCTTTTAAACCTTACACCCCCCAACGTGCTTACTCCTAGCACCCCCTAAAAAAAAGAGAATAATAATAAGTGTATTTAGTTTCAGTTTCAGTTTTTTAAAAATTGAGTTTTTTGTTTTTCGTGTTTTTTTTTTAGTGAATATTTTTTAAATTTTAAGCAATTTTTTTACTTTTTTAGATGCACGTTACTTAGACGTATCTAAATAGTAAAATATTTGTGAAAAAATATTTTTTAAAATTAATAATACACGAAAATACGAAACATGTATTGAATTTTGTTTTTGTTTTTTGTTTTTTTTGTATTTTTTGGTATTTAGTGTATTTTTTAAAGATTTTTTTTTTCACAAATATTATGCTTTTTAAGTGTATTTATGTTAAATGTGTCTAAAAATTTTTATAAAAAAATTGCTTAAAATATTTAAAAAATTCATTGAAAACATTAAAATACGAAAAATAAAAAAATAGAATTTTCTGAAAACTGTTTTATGAAAACTAATACCAAACAAGCTGATTCTAGTTTATATTTGTCCTCTAGTAAGTATCCTCTTTTTGGCCAAAAAAGGCATCTTGATTCAATATTAGTCCTATCTTCACCATTAAGAATTTGTTTCGTTATTGAGGCACCTTTGAGCCTCATTTGCTTGGAAGATTTGCCTACACGTGGTGTTCTGTCTACATCTGTTTCAGTACCCTTACCTCATTGACACCCCTTCTAGTGCAACATGAGGATCAAATGATGTTCTTGCAATACAACTTGTTGCTTCTTTGTGTGATGGATTTGGCAGATGACTTGAGCATTTGGAAAAATCATCTATAGACACCAATGCCCCTTGGGTTATTTGTGTACGAATTTCGCTGCTCAGATACTGATTTGTTTGAGAAATATCACTGCCTTTACTCTTTGGAAGAGAGTACTTCTCAACAAGGGAGAATTGATGGAGATTGTAGAGGCGGAAAAAATTGAGATTTTAGTTTATTTTAGGACTTTTAAGTTTAGTAAGAATTGTATTTCCTAATTTTTATTTGTTTCCTTATTGGATTGTTCCTTCATTTTGGTCTTCCTATATATAGGGCTTGAGCGTATTGAATAATTAGAGTTTTTGTATTAAACCCCCCACCGCCCCCCCCCCCTCTCTCTCTTCTCTCTCTCGCAGCAGCCTCTTGTCTTGTGCTCTTTTGTTCTTCCTCTTCTTCCCTCTTCTTTGTTTTTCCCCTTTTCTTCCCTCTCTACTTACCCTTCACTACTTCTCTCCTACTATGTGTTGCATCACGGGTGAACATTGAGTGAGGATTGCCTGAGTTGATATCAGTTGTGCAACAAATAACAAGGATAAGAAACCAAAAATAAAATGAATACTAAAGTGGTTTACATCCCAATCGATTTCTTAAACATGGGAATGATAGGTCTAATCCTTGATGGTCATATAATTCATTTTTTTTAATCTATCCTTTTCTTCTTCCAAAACAAAGCATGTGTTTTCTGTGAAAGCGCCTTTTTTCTTCCCTACTTTGCCTGTGGTTCAAAAGCAAAATTATAGATCAAGATGCAATCATTTCTGTGGAAAGTTTCTGTACTGCATGTTGTGGATACCTGTTAATTTCCCGCTATTGTCTAGGTCTTGCAATGCATATTGTTTTAGATTCATTATTCCACGTCTTCATATATTCGTGTCGTATTTTCTACCTTTTGAGTCTAGTGAAACAATGTGTTGTGTTTTATATTATTTTGCATAGTCATACAATATAATCAATTGGCTCACAGAGGTTCATATTTGTGGGGCATAATTTATGAGTAGAACCACTAAACTTGTTTCAGCGTGCTTCTTGTCTTACAACTTAAGAAAATTTACATGGTATAGAATAAAATTGGATGAACGAAACATGAAACTTTTAATATGACAACAATATGGTGTATTTGGAAAAGTGTTCTTAGGCACTTGAGTATATGCTTTTCACCATAAACATAATAGGGACATATTTTCTAGTGTAGTAAGGACAAAAATGTAGTGAAAAGCTATGCTACGTACGCATCTCTTTGCTCAAAATTTCTAATCGAGAGGACTGGAAAATGAATGTACCAAAGAACATTAGATGATTACCCTTTCCTTTGAATTTGAAAGTTGAGCAAGAAAATTGCAAGCTTAGACTAAATTTTGCAATTGAAACACATTTTCCTTTTTTCTATAGTAACTCTTTCACAAATGAATCTGATTATACTTATTACAACTGAAAAACTTCATTTGTTTTTAGACATGAAAGCGCTAGGGGCAATGGTGGTTTTTCTAAAGATACGTGGTATATATTTGTTTGGGCTGTAGTTCTTGTGTTGATTGAATAGACTTCATCATTTTTATTTGAACTTTATTTATTTCCTTCTATCTCATAAAGGGTTGCTATGTTCTCTTTTAATGTTGTTTTGTTGCCAAACTAACTGTTGCAGGCCCACCAGAAACTAAGCTATCCATGGCTGCGTACCTTGGTGAGTTGGCTCCAAACAATGATGTGAAGGTATATGTGGCCAGAACTGTCGGTTCATCACTGATCAATATCATGAGAAGTGGTAACATGCAGTCGAGAGAAGCTGCTTTAAAAGCGCTGAATCAAATCTCATCTTGCGAGGCAAGCGCCAAGGTGTTGATCGATGCCGGTATACTTCCCCCACTTGTCAAGGATCTATTATTCACTGTTGGCACGAACCAGCTTCCAATGCGGCTAAAAGAAATCTCCGCAACGATTCTTGCCAGCGTGGTTAACTCGGGCTGCGATTTTGATTCAATCTCGATTGGACCTGACCACCAGACTTTGGTCTCAGAAGACATAGTTCATAATCTACTCCATCTTATTAGCAACACTGGCCCTCCAATAGAATGCAAGCTCCTCCATGTCCTCGTTGGTCTTACTAGTTCTCCCGCTACTGTCCTGAGTGTTGTTTCTGCCATTAAAAGCTCTGGTGCTACCATCAGTTTGGTTCAGTTCATCGAGGCTCCTCAGAATGATTTGCGTGTGGCTTCCATAAAGCTTCTTCAGAAACTCTCTCCATACATGGGTCAAGACCTAGCCGATGCTTTACGTGGCACAGCTGGCCAACTCGGCACCCTAATCAAAGTCATATCAGAAACAATCAGTATCACTGAAGAGCAAGCCGCAGCAGTGGGCCTTTTAGCTGATCTTCCAGAGAGGGACATGGGGCTCACGAGGCAGATGTTAGATGACGGTGCTTTTCAGGTAGTCATTTCCAGAATCATTCGGATCAGGCAAGGCGAGACTAGAGGCAGCCGCTTTGTCACGCCGTATCTAGAAGGGCTCGTTCAGGTTCTCTCGAGGGTTACTTTCGTGTTGGCCGACGAGCCTGATGCAATTACACTCTGTCGCGAACACAATCTTACCTTGTTATTCACTGACCTCCTTCAGACCAACGGGCTTGACAATGTACAGATGGTTTCCGCCATGGCCTTAGAGAACCTATTCCAAGAATCTAAAAGTTTGACAAAACTACCTGAGTTGCCGAAATCTAGATTTTGTGCCTCAATTTTTCCGTGTATAGGCAAGCCACCTGTGATAACCGGAGTGTGTAAGATCCACCGTGGCATTTGTTCATTAAAAGAAACTTTTTGCCTCTTGGAAGGTCAAGCTGTGGAGAAGTTGGTGGCTCTTCTAGACCACACAAATGAGAAGGTGGTTGAGGCGGCACTTGCTGCACTGTGTACTTTATTGGATGACGGGGTTGATATTGAACACGGGGTGATGGTATTGTGTGATGCAGAGGGAATCAAGCCTATACTCGATGTGTTGCTAGAGAAACGAACAGATAATCTCCAGAGGAGGGCAGTTTGGGCAGTTGAGAGACTTCTGCGCTCTGATGATATAGCCTATGAAGTTTCCGGTGATCCAAATGTTAGTACAGCACTTGTTGACGCTTTCCAACATGGTGACTACAGAACACGACAGATTGCTGAGCGCGCCCTAAAGCATGTTGACAAGATACCCAATTTCTCTGGTGTGTTTCCAAACATGGGATGAACCATTTTTAAATGCATCACTTGCAACGACAGTTGATGAAATGGAAGACCTTACATTTATTGATTATTCTTCCGATTAATATCGAGAGGTTTTTGCTTCATATCGAGAGGTTTTTGAGCTGCATCAAAGATTTTGGTATGTGAAGAAGCATCATGAAAAGGTGGATAATGTTAATTTCTGTTCTATAATTTGTAGAGGGAGGGTCAGTCTCAGTTATGGTTCATTTGTTCTTCATCTTTCTGGTTTGGGTTTATTTTACATGAACTGCATATATTTGTACTTGGCTTTGGAGTGGGGACGCAATGTTTTGTACATTTTTAATATCAGATTTCAACAAAAGATTCAGAATAAATGGCGCAGCTGTTTTTCTCATGCAGACCCAACTAAATCACTGGTAGTTGCTTCTAGGAAATTTGTCAGTCTGTTACAAATTATACCCTTCTGGTCAGTATCATTTTTTTTCATTTCTTGCAAGAATATTGTCTTGAAAATCACAGGATCTGATATGCACCTTCCTACTCCCTATATTGTGGTTTGCTACTCTCCCCCATTTGCTTTTCCGGCTTGTGCTTCAACCGGTCAAGATTAAATTTCAGCAGGGCATCTCCACATTTCCTTAATTTTGTGTTTATTGAACAATGACCCACTGTTTGGATATGCACGTCACGATGGTATTGCATCCTCTGCATTTTTTCGAAAATAGGGTTGAGTAGGGTTTAAGTAATGAACCTTGTCGCTAAGAGGAAGCTGTTGATGCTATAATCTGACAGAAACTAGGGTTGGGTCACTTATCATAGAGCAGTTACCACATTACTACGTCACATGATTCATAAAGAGAGTATATGTTGAAGTTGATGATATGATACTATAGTCCAAACATAAATCAAAGCATATGCAGACAAACAAAAAAAATCTCGAATCAAATTTTGCAAAATTTTTAGAGCAACTTTTTGAGAACAGTTGAATCGGAGCTTGTTGGTTATATCATATGCTAGGGAAAGGAAGAGGTTGGGATTTGGTTGGCTCCCAGCTCCACCCTAGAAAAGCCCAATTTCTTAGAGCATCTTCAATGGTTTGCCATTAAAGTTGTCATTGCTATAATATAACAGCTATCATTGAAAAGTGATGCTCCAATGGTGAATGGCTACCAAATTTGACACAAGTTTGGGCAATTATCATATGCACAAACTCAGCCAAAACCAACCATTTCCCTCCCTCTCTCTCTCCTTGCAAAACAGATAATTTTTTGCAAAATTGCCATTTTTGTAGAACCAAACATGAAAACTGTTGTATTCGGGACGACCGGCCGAACACTGGTGGCCGTCCAGTCGATTGTCCTGAACACAACAATTTTTGTCTTTGGTTCTGCCAAAATGACATCTAACCATTAGAGCACTATTGCTATAATTTGCCAATTTGCTACTATTCATTGCCAAATTATAGCAATGGCAATGCTATTATAGCATTTGCCATTGGAGATGCTCTTACCGGTAGGCTCACTATCAGACTCAGCGAAATCCAAAGATTTCAAATGTGATGCACATATAATTCAGCTGATCATGGAAAACATATTTTCAGTGTTACACATGCGAGATTTTTCAAACTAATATGTTTCAACTATTCCTGCACTATTACCAGCAATATAGAAGACAACACATTCGACAGGCACAGGTGTAGTGTCATCAAACCAATTTCTCGCCAAGGATACCTTAATGAGGTTCATGCCTATCAAATAAAGGTTTTAAATCCCAAAAACCTGGCAGGTTTTATGTTTAAGAAGACCTGATTAAGCAATGGTTGGTTATTAGTTCATCGTGTGTGCCAGTAATCCAATTCTAAAAGTCAACTACAGTCAGAATCAGTGTGCCAACCCCAAAAGAACCCAGCACCCTGTAAGATCGCTCAGCATATCAATAAGACTCCAGGCACCACCATGTGCTGTTTACCAGAATCAAGACCAGGATGCTCATCAAATTTGAAGGATGAAAGGGTGTAAATGTAATCCACAACTGGTTTTCATAAATATTCATGAAACTCAGTACAGATTGCAGTAGGGGTGGAAATTTCTAGATAGACGATAGCTGAAACAGCAACCCGGGATTTGAATAACATGGTACACCTGCTAATGCCCTTTGAGCAATGACTTACGAATATTTTCCAGTAAGTATAGGATGACTCAACAAACAAGCATACCAAAGTCAGTGCCTTGATAAATGAATGATCAATTTCTTCAATGAGGGCAAACAAATTACATGAAAGCTAAAGAAGCATAGCCAGATAAGAATCTGAATAAGAAATATCACACCAGGAAATTACGAACTGATTGAGATCAGGAAGGAGTCTCACATGTCAGCGTCCATGTTCAAAGCTTCCAGATGAGAGCAAATAGATGTGACATTAAAGATGTAGCACTGCCATTGATTTTGTCACGCAGGAAGAAGCATCCAGTTCATGTGTTGCGTGATTCCTGGAGATATGGCTCCACGTCATTCTTTCATCAGACACATCACACATAGTCAAGAAGTCTAAGACTTGTCCAAATATTTTGAACATTTCGACCCCAAATATCAGATTTCTATCAGAAATAAATGCGGCATTCCAGTCCATTGGAGCATCAGGATGTGTTGAAATCTCTGTCCAAGAAAGATGCATGAGATCTAGCTCCCACAGCTTTCTAACGGCCTTGTTTCTCCTACCTATTTGACCATCCCCTTCGCACCACGAGACAGAGAGCATGAAAAGCCGGCCATTACAAGATATGAGTTTTGGGTAGTACTCATGTACACGAGGAGGGGATGGACAGGTTTGAATTCGAACCCAATAACTCCTTTCTGTGTCATACCCTGCAAGCTTGTCAGTTTCAGAAAAAACGTAAAACATCCCATTACAAACAACCCCTGAACAAACAACACCAAAATCTACAGGCAGCCTCTGAATCTCCATCCATTTATTTGAAACAGGATCATAAATTTCCCCAGAATCCAAAGGCTCGTCCCAGGATCCAAGCCCTCCAACAGCAATCAACACACACCTTTTACAATCTTTTGTGTTTGAGTGATCACCTTTTTGTACAAATTTGTATGGCTTTACATTCGGCAGCAATGAAACATCAGTCTCGTCAAGAGCACTTCTGAACTGACGCCTCACTGAAAGCCTATGGGGATCCTCATAAACATCAGATGCCCCACCAACCCTTGACTTGGAGAAACGTGTCTCTTGACGATTTTGCTGGTTTCGGATAATCAAACAATCCGAACTGATCTCACATATTCCTAAAACTGGCTTTGACCTCGCATGCTTCATGGATGCAACTTTATGCCATGATCTAGTTATGGGGCTAAATACAAGCGCTCCTTTGTGTGTCTTAAATGAGCTCCTATCCAACTTTCCATAATTGGTCAAGCTCGAACAACCTCCAACAATGTAAATATCATCAAGAACGCTGGCAACGGAAAACAGGAACCTTCCTTTGAGAACTTCAGCATCTAATCTATGCCACTGATTAAGAGAGACGTCTAGTGCATGTATCTCCCCAGAGCAATAACCATCATTAACAACACCAAACACAAACAACCACGGGCTCTGATACAAACCTTCCCGTCTCATCTGCATGAACCGAGGAGTTGTGGTTAGATTTCTCCATTTTCTGCACACAAGACGGGCATTCATGAGACTGGTCAATGGGAGTCTCACCAAGCACATTTCCAGAATGTCATCAGGAAGAAACACATGCATTCTACTGTTCTGTTGTGATTCTTCAAGTTCGAGAACCTTCCGGTTATTCCTCCTCCAAAACTTCTCTACTCCATATGAGAAGCAATCCACAGTGGTATCCTCAGTCCCGCATAGTGCTGTGTACCCCTTGCCTTCTTCACTGGCACTTGACCGCCTTCTACCACTTGGATCCCCAAACTCTTCGCTTGTGTCAGCTCCTACCTTGCAACCACCACCCCTACCATACAAAGTAAGGCATCCCAAGGAAATCCCTCTCGCATCATCCTCTTCTTCCTCCCCTTCAACGCTGTGGTTCTTTTTTTTGAACTTCTGGCTAAAACTTCTGAGAAGACGTCGAGACAAACTTAAAGCCTCAAAATCCCGACAAAGAGATCCTTCTCCCATTAATCTCTCGTAGAGCAATTAAAACATTTCTATATCACAATTTGCATCCATCATCATCCCTAACTCATAATTCACCTACGACAAAAAACAATCATTTTGGAAAGTTAGGCTCACAACCTGTTAGGGTAACTAATTTATAGACATTGAACAAATATATAAAATGTATTCCATAGGAGAGAGTTAAAAACATTATTGTCTACTTGTTTGACGAAAAAATGCAAGATTGAGAGGAAAATTTAAGAATTTCCATATTGGAGCCATTTTTTTATGATAATTTTTCGTAGGAGTAAAGTTGACTGGAATAAATCTGATTTCTTGGATCCAAAATAATGAAAAATCAAAGATTTTGATAGCAAAAAAAGAAATCTCCACATTCCTACATTTTTCTCCTTGCGATCAGGAAAGTTGAACGAAAAAGGGAAAAAAAAAAAAAAAAAATGATGCATATTATTAGCATTTTAACGAGTTGCGGAAAGCACATTCACGGACGCAAGCACTAGTCCCCTGTAACGCAAGAATTAAAAAGTATCCAGATCCCTATTCTCTACACATCATCAAATCCAGATCAAATCAGGCAAAAATTAAATGCCTCCTCCAACATCAAAACTCATAACACTCCACAAATCATTACGATAAAACTGTATAAATCATACATACATACATACATACATACATATACATATACATATATATATAAATGTAGCGAGAGAGAGAGAGAGAGAGTGTGTAAAACAAAAAAAATACCTATTTTATGGATGGATTAAGAGAGATGAAAAGGTAAATCGGAGAAGAGATCGAACGAACGGCATTAACAGAATGTGGAAATCATCTTCACAAGATTCGAGCTTGAATGATTACGTTTGTTGTAATTCAACTCATTTGCTATATAAATGAAAAGGAATGAATGAATGATATCAAAAACGATGAATATGTAATCAATCTCTCTCTCTCTCTCTCTCTCTCTCTCTCTGGGTGTGTGTGTGTAAACACGAAGGTGGAGATTTCGCAATACTTTGCTTTCTTTTTGCTTTGTAAAGTAATAATAATAATAATTAAAATGAAGAAATATTAATGCACTGGGGTTAACAAAAGCGACAGTTCTTCTTCTTCCTTTCCCCTTATGCCATTCTCTCTCTCTCTCTCTCTCTCTGCCTTTTGTTGTTTCATTTTGTTTATTTTGTTTTTTCATGACTCAGCTCATCTACTTTTTATTTATTTATTTTTATTCTATTAAATAAGGGCAAATTAAAGTATACTCCCTTAAACTATGATGTATTTACATTTTAAACTTTAAAATTCAATTATTAATCATCTTAAAGTATTATTTTGTTAAAATTTTACACCCAATCAGATCATAGGTAAAGCATAGACATCTTTATTGAATTTTTAGAACAATAATATTTATTATTGATCTTTTAAGACAATAATATCTTTATTTAGTAATTTCATTTGCACTTTATCTTTCTTATTTTAGTGGCAAAATATAAAGGAAATCACTATATAAGGGTTTTATTGTCTTAAAAATTCAATATATATGTTATGTAACTTGCATATGATCTCATTTTATGTAGATTTTGATAGAAATGATTAACTCTAATAAGATAATATTTTAAAATGATTAACGATTGAGTTTTACTATAATTTACCTGTTAAATAAACAAATAAATAAAAAATAAATTATATTTGCACTTTCTTAAATAAAAATGATCTAATTTATTTGTCATTGATTGTTTTAGAATAATAATACTCTTATCTAGTGATTTCACTTCCATTTTGTCTTTCTTATCTTAGTGGCAAAGTATAAACGAAATTATCAGATAAGAATATTATTATCTTAAAAATTTAATAAATGTGTTATATGCTTTATACATGATATGATTTTTTTTTATAAATTTTTATTTTTTTTTAACAAGAATAGTTATTAGTAATAATATAATATTTTCAAAAAAGTTTACTCTTGAGTTTTAAAATTTATGGAGATAAACTAGGTTTCTCATAAATAAATCATAATTTAGCCTCCGTTTGGGAAGTGGGTTGACTTTTTGACTTTTTGACTTTTTTGGCTATTTTAGCCTAGGCTAAAAAACTTGGTTTGGGAAGGATTTTTTGGCTTTTTGGCTTTTTTGATTTTTTTTTTGTGAGAGAAGAGTGTAATGATTATGAGTTGAATGTAATGTTTTGTTTTTTATGGCTAAAATAGTCTATTTTATCTTTTGTGACTAAAATAGCCAAAAAAACCCCAAACTCTTCTTGCCAAACGAACCCTTAAGTGGTTTACTATAGTTTACCAAAAAAAATAAATAAATAAATAATATGGAAATAATGATCAACGCAAAGGAGCGTCCCAGCTAAACTTTATAATGGCCAAGTTAGAATACAGCCGTTGGATTAAACACTTTTGCAAATCTTTTTTTTTTTTTTTTTTTTTTTTTTTTTTTTAACTAGGAAAAAAGGATTCTGTGGTATCATCATGGCCCTCGTGGACCCTGATCCTGGGGTAATCGGTTGCCAGTCAAGAATTAACCCCCACCAAGTGAGAGACCCACCACCAGGACACCAATGGAGTACAACCACAAGCCCCAGCAGAGGACAAGTTGTCGAGAGGAGTACAAAGCATGTTCTCTTTTTGCGAATCTGGAGCGGAGACATATCTGTTATTGACATCTTTTGGGCTCAAAATTCTATTTTCATCAGCGGCCGGGAGATGTTCGTGACCTCATTTGGAAATTTGATTATTATAGCTATTTTTTTATTTTTTATTTTTAAAAATAAAATAAGAAGTTATGTTTAGAATTATTTGTAATTTTTCTTTTTATAGTTGAATAGATAGTTGTGAAAGAAAAAAATAATTGATTGATATCTAAGATGTAATATTTTGTCTTATTATTTTTTTAATCCTTTTTTTAATCTTTATTGTCTATTTTAACTAAAAGCAAATTCCCAAACAAGGCCTATGCATGTATATGTAGGCCCGTTTATTTTTACTTACAAAATTTAAATTTTAACATTTATCTTTGATGATTTAATTTGTTATAGGCCCGTTTATTTTTACTTACAAAATTTAAATTTTAACATTTATCTTTGATGATTTAATTTGTTGATTTTTTGTCTTTAGATATATTTTTTATAATAAAAATTAAATTAATTTGATAATTATAATCACATTAATTCATTAAATTTGTGGAACATTTGTATAATTTAAAAAACAGACGGATTATTTTTTGGGGGTAAATTATATTTTCGTTAAGGTTGAAAACAAGTCGAGTAATAAGTTGTTAAAACTAGACTTGTTTAGATAATGACCCGATCTCGAACAAGTTTTTAATGAGCCAAACACAAGTCAAGTTTAAATAACTTAATCCCAAGGAATTGGCCTAGTGGGTGTAACTTGAGGTTAATTCAAATTAGGTGCTATCAACTCTTTGAGGCCACACATGCATAAGATTTGCCTAATTCATATGGAGAGAGCACTTTGGATGGGTCCTAGGATTAATAGAGGCGCGAGTAAAAAAATTCAAGTAACTACGGTGCATATAAATTTATCGAATCAAATAGTAGATTGTTAAAATTTTGTTTGAAAACTTAACGAGTTTTGAATTATGTTCAAGCTTGACTTGTTTAACTAAAAGGTCTATCTGAAACAAGTTTTAAGAAGTCCATCTGAAACAAGTTTTTAATGAATCAAATGCGAGTCGAGGTCTAGTAACTTGGTTCGTTTATTAGTTCCCATTTTCATCCCCAAAAGTATGATTATTTTTTCACTTTAGTCCTCAAATTATCAAATTTTGCAAACTTTGGCCAAGCATCTAATGATCGTTATATTTTGTGACAAAAATAAAGTAAAGTACACTTTTATTCTCTAAAAATGAGTTTTTTACATGTACTAAAAAGTTAACAAATTTAATTATCGAAGTAAGTTTTAAAGTGCACGTATAAATCCGAATTGGACAGTTCAAGTGATTGGAGACAAGTTATGTTTTTTATTTTTCAAACTACTTGGAAACAAAGTAAATATATATGTTTTGTTTTGGAAAAAGTAGCCATGCTTTTTAATTTCATATTCAAATTATGGTGAAAGTTATATTGCTAAATCGTTCTAAATCCTATACTCCAAATTTTACGTGTAAAAAAAAAAAAAAATCTATTCTCTAAATCCAACTAGTCAAGCTTTTAAAAATGTGCTGTTTAAAAAAATAAAAATTAAAAAAGACGAAGTTTGAAATTAAAATTTTAAAAGAAACATAAAATGATGAATGACCTTATGTGGATGCCTATGCATATACATTGCACCCACGTGTTGGTTTTTATGATAGGGAGGATCCCTCCGGCCAGATTTTAAATTAGAGAGTATTGTTTGATTTATGAAATTTATCGCATGATCTGGTTCATGATAAATTAAATAAATTATAATTATCAAATTAATCTAACTCTTTGTAAGCATGAAATATACAAAATGTCTATATACGGTAACGAAAGAAAGTGGTCGTAGTGAGTAATCAATAATTACTAGGAAAGGGATGGTAGATAAAATAAAATTACAACATTAAAATATGAAAATTTTATTTTTAATTTTTTTTAGAGTTCTTGTAACACAATTAATTTTTAATTTTTTCAATTTAATTTTTAATATTTTAATTTGTTTTCCATTTAAGCCATTCACTTATTTTTGTTTAAGCAACACCGACGAAAAATATATATATATATATATTTTAGCCATAAAACTCAATATAAGTGTATATAAAGGCCATGTTTATTTAGTGGGGCAGGAGCAGATTGGATTAGTATGGGTGTGGGTTCCACCTACACCTCGTTTGGTGATGATTTGTCAGGGGAAATTAACAGTGTGAGGAACTTAGTTATTCCCTCAGGAAGGGGATGAATTAAGTCTATTTTATATAAAAAAATTTATTTTTTAATTTTATTTTATTTTATCAAGTGCACTTGTTTATTTTAATATTTGTTTTAGTTTTTTTTTAATATAGAAATAATTTTTTTTATATTTATTTTATATAAAAATAATTGAACAATCACATCACTAACCATCTTCCATACTATCATCAAAATAAATACACTTTTACTTAGTCAATCACATCACTAACCATCTTCCATACTATCATCAAAATAAATACACTTTTACTTAGTCTTATCACTAACAATCCTCACATTAATAATATTTACACTAACCATTTTCTCATTAACAATCTCATCCAACTTAATCGGCCAAACAAATGTGGCCAAAATGACTAAAATATTATTTTTTGTTGAGTTTAATGACTAAAGTATTATTTTTTCGACAATTTTACTAAACGGAAATAGATATATGGTTTATATTGAAAATAAATTTAAAAATTAAATTGTAAATTAATAAAATTAAAAATTTTAGATTTATTTTGTTACACGATTTTTTTTTATAATTTTATTTTAAAAAATAAATATTTAAAGTATTTTTGAAAATTGTAAATAAATAATAAATAAATACTAAGTTTCAATGCAAACTGTGAAGTAAATAAATTATAGGGTATATTACATTGACATCCCCTGAGGTTTATATTTATTATAGTTTCCCTCCTCACCTTTTAGAAATTACATCCCCTTCCCTGAGCTTTAAAGTTTCATTACAGATTGTCCCTTGAAGTTTAAAGTTGCATAACATTTCCCCCCTCACCGTAATGATCATCATACATAAAATTAAATTAACAGGGGGTCAGTGTAATTTTCCAAATGTGAGGGGGGAAATTGTAATAAACATAAATCTCAGGGGGTGTCAATGTAATTTATCCTAAATTATATTAGGAGAGGAATTTTTTACAGTCCAAAATCTGAACTGAAGGGTGCTGTTTAGGACCGTAGAGTTCATTATGAGTCCTGTTTTGATGATCTGAACCGTTCATTTGTAGGACACTTTGTGTATTTCAGCCACAAAAAAGGTTAGGTCGATTCGATAATTATAATTTATCAAAAAATGATGATCTGAATCGTTCATTTTATAATATTTTTTATCAAAAAATGAACGATAATTGTGTTTTAAAAAAATAAATTATATATTTTTTTAATGACAAAAATAATGAATTGAGCAAGTTATAGATATTAAATTAATTTTTTTCTAAATAAAATATATAAAACACTTAACAAAATAAATAATTTAAATTATCGAAACGAAAACATAATATACTCTACGAGTCCAACCGAGCTCCTCTATTTTCAATTTTAGATAGAGGTGTTTGGGAAGCAACTTTTTTGATTTTTTTTGGGTTAAAATAGTATTAAAAGATAAAATAAATTAAAATAATTAATAATATAAAATGTCACATCAAATCCCTGAGCTTTAAAGTTTCATTACAGATTGTCCCTTGAAGTTTAAAGTTGCATAACATTTCTCCCCTCACCGTAATGATCATCATACATAAAATTAAATTAACAGGGGGATCAGTGTAATTTTTCAAATGTGAGGGGGGAAATTGTAATAAACATAAATCTCAAGGGGTGTCAGTGTAATTTACCCTAAATTATATTAGGAGAAGAATTTTTTACAGTCCAAAATCTGAACTGAAGGGTGCTGTTTAGGCCCGTAGAGTTCATTATAAGTCCTGTTTTGATGATCTGAACCGTTCATTTTGTAGGACACTTTGTGTATTTCAGTCACAAAAAAGGTTAGGTCGATTCGATAATTATAATTTATCAAAAAATGATGATCTGAACCGTTCATTTTATAATATTTTTTATCAAAAAATGAACGATAATTGTGTTTTAAAAAAATAAATTATATATTTTTTTAATGACAAAAATAATGAATTGAGCAAGTTATAGATATTAAATTAATTTTTTTCTAAATAAAATATATAAAACACTTAACAAAATAAATAATTTAAATTATCGAAACGAAAACATAATATACTCTACGAGTCCAACCGAGCTCCTCTATTTTCAATTTTAGATAGAGGTGTTTGGGAAGCAACTTTTTTGATTTTTTTTGGGTTAAAATAGTATTAAAAGATAAAATAAATTAAAATAATTAATAATATAAAATGTCACATCAAATCTATAATCATTTCACTTTTTATTTTACAAATATTATATCTAATTACAAAAAAATCAAACTATCTTTTCAAACATAAAAAATTTAACATCCTAAAATAATTAAAAGTTAAAATAATCTATTCAAATAACAATTTCTCGAACACCCAAATATATTAAATGCTTATATCTAAGTGTAGGTAGGGGTGGTCCCCTGACCTTTTTTTGTTGGGTCAACATGGCTCGAGAGGATGATTATGCCATTCCAACTACTTCCAAATTTCTAAGAAAAATGATGGAGACCACTAATTAGTGGTTGCTCTAATGATGTGGCAGTGGGTTCTACTCACTATCACATGTATTTTGTGTTTTAATTTTGTTTTGTTTTTTGTTTTTTTTGCTTTCCATATCATTAGTGATGGTGTTAGTGGTAGGAATTTAGTGGTCTGTAATATTGTTGAATTTCTAATTTAGTGTGCGCCATTGTTGGGCGTGAAAAATTTACGAATAATGAAATTGATTGCAGTATATGTATAAATTAGAATAATGAGTGAGGACAAATATTGACAATCATTCAAATATGGTCAAGGAGACAAATAAAATAGGGTTCTTTCGAGAAGTAAGTTAGTTTTTTGATTTTTTAATTTTTTAATTATTTTAATTTGGAGTTAAAAAGTCTCGTTTGAGATAAGTGTTTTAATTTTTTTTTAACTTTTTGTGAGCGAAAGAATGTAATGAGTATAGGTTAGATGTGATGTTTTACCTTATTAAACTAAAAAATTTATTTTGGACTAAAATAGTTTCAAATTCAACCCAACCCAACCTAAATTGCCGAACGAAGGCATAGTTTCAATTCCAACATTATCCATTTTATTTTACGCCAATAAATGCAATCCCACCAATTTATAAATAATAATATATTGAAACCAAAACATCAAAAATACTTTGACGGTGTAGTGTAGGGCCTGAGCAAGGAATCCGTAAAATTCGTAATTTGATCCAGTTTAGTTCAATCTGATAGGTTTGGATTGGTTTTTTGAATATGTGGTTAGGTTTTGGATTGAAGAATTAAAAATCCATAGTCTACGGATTGATTCCATATTGAACCCCACGGTTCCGGATTAGAACCAATCCGGACTGTATACAAATAGTCTATATTTTTATTATACATCTTCCCCCATAGTATCTTCTCTTATTCTATATAAAACCTAAATTCAAACCTAAACTCATATAATATTTTCTTTTATTACTTTTGTTTGTTAGTTTAGTTTTAATTTGTAATGGTTTAAATACTTGTGGTGAAACCAGTTTTCTTATGATTGTTTAAATTCTAGAATAGTATGTCGCTATTATAGAAAAATATGTTGCAATTATGAAACTAATATAGCGTTATGTTAATGTTTTTATGAAATTAAAGTGCTATATATATATTTTTGTTATTTAATTATGTAAATCCGTGGTTCTAAACCAATCCAATTTGTGTTTAAATGGATTGGTTCAGATTAGTTCCATGATTTAAACGGATTGGATTGGTTCTAATTTTTCAAAAACCGTAAATAACGAATTGGTCCTGATTTTACCTCAATCCGAACCATACTCACCCCTAGTGTAGTAAGAAATATTATAGGTGAGATATGATGACTCACTTTTTTTAGACAGTTAAAAAACAATGATGGATCTATTTAGGCCTAGTTTGGGATCTACTATAAAATCCATCTTTTTATCTTTTTTCATTACATCACCTCTCTACTTTTCTGCACATCTTTTCGTAAAAAGATAAAAAGTGCACTTTTTTAGGACACCCCAAACCAACCCTTAGTGTGGGTTATGATTACTCATACATGATACTCTTACACAACTTAATTTTTCTCTCATGACAAGACCAATTTAGTAAAATTTCAATGAAACTTAAGCAATATAATTATCAATTAATATTGTGTTTGGATCTTAAATATGTGCAGTTAAAAAAAGGGGTGGGATGCATGTTGTACCTTTGGGCAGAAACCGAGCCTATTGTGCCTAAATGCAGGGTACATCTCGGGTTCATTTCTATGATATAAATCATTCATCTCGTAAAGCATTTTACTAATTTACTTATACAAAAAATTAGATTGATCATACATTTGTAGTCGTATGATCAAAACATAAACGACAAATGTAATTTTGAAAATAAACCATTTATTTTTTGTAAATACAAATATTCAATCAATTTACTTTATCACATGAATGATTTACTCAATGAAACTTATCCGAGATGATCCCCACATTTGGATACAGCATGAACCCTCATCCTGAACCCAAAAAAAAAAAAATTAATAATAATAATAATAAGATAAAACTTCTTTTTTTAAAAAACAAATTCCTTTTTACTTAGGTCAAATTTAGGAAGACTAAATAAGTACACTTTTTGACTTTTTATGAAATACGAATTAGATTTGGGTTGGATTTGAAATGATGTGTTAGAGAGGTGATGTGACTTAAATAAGATAATATGACTTAAATAGAATAGTAACTTTTTGACTTTTTGAATTTTTTGGAGGATGCCAAACTTGGCCTTAGTTTTTCCTTCACAAATTTAAAATCTAAACACACTAGATTTTATTTATTTATTTATTTTTATTTTTTTCAATGGACACAAAATCTCCCTTTTACTCATGCAGTGGTAGTACAAAATGTGGACCAAAAAGAGTAGAGTTCATTTCAGTTAAGCATATCAATTAGCTGGTGGACCAAAAAGAGTAAAGTTCATTTCAGTTAAGCATATCAATTAGCTGCCCAACATAAACAGGGTTGAGTCATTTCAGTTAAGCATATCAATTAGCTGGTGGACCAAAAAGAGTAAAGTTCATTTCAGTTAAGCATATCAATTAGCTGGTGGACCAATAACAAAGAAGAAAGCAAGCCAACAAATACCTGTAATTTAAGAATCTTTTTATACCATGAAAGAGATTGATCATTCTGTACCCAAAAAAAAAAAAAAGAAAGAAAGAAAAAGAAAAAAGCAACTACAAAAAGAATATTAATGAAGTCATGTTAATAAACTTTCATTTGTTTTAGAAAAGAAATAACACACTGATTCAGAGTCCCCGGGAGTAAATTAGAAGCATTAATTCATGGACTTACATCCAGAAAATAAAAAATCTGGGATTACAAAAACAAATGGCTTGTAACAAAGTATCCAAAAGTGATTTTAAAGTTCTTTGTCAGTCTCGTCCTCGGCACCACCTGTGTGATGGTAACCACTGTAAATGAAAGCAAAAAAGGTGTCAGTCCTGTATAAAACAGAAATCATACTCCCCAGTAGCCCAATTGCTGATGGTAGATTCTCAAGCAGATGATTTTTCACCATTCATGCAAGATGCAGTTGGGGTTTTTGTGTTTTTATTGGGTGTGCGCGCATGTGCGTGTATGGAAATTAAGATATTTTCTAGTCTCACCAGCAGATTGGAAAATTATTTAACAACATTCTAATGGCTAAAAAATACCTGACAAGTGGAGAATTTATTTTAGTATCTATACATACAAATAAAGGAAATATCTAAAATTACAACAATTATAGAGGCATTAAGTTGACGAGTGATACAATGAATTGTAGGAGAGAGTGAGTGAGCATATTCATTAACAAGATAAATAAAAAAACTACAAAGAGAAAAGGAGGGGATTGCATATGATTTTTATAGATTTAAAAAAAAACTTATAATAGAATACCTAGAAATATGTACTTAACCAAGGGGTATAATATGTTGTAAGCAGATGAAATTAAAGGAGGAATTAACACTAAACTATAAATTTGGAACTGAATATATCATGTGTAACAACAAAAGTAGAAATAATAGAGAAGTGAAAATCGAAAATCAAAAGATAACAAAAAATTAACATTTCTGTTACTTAAATTCAATAAAAATTAGGATGGAGATGTAGGAGATGACATGGTCCATAGAATAAAAAAATGGTTCATTAAGTGGAGGAATGTTTCTGGCATATTATGTGAACGACGAACACAAACAAATTAAAGACAAATTTTACAGAACTAAATATGAAATAACACGTTAATAAAATAAGTGTAGTTGAGAGTTGAAACAACGAGTCTTAAATGGATGTCTAGTGACTAGAACAAATAAAACTAAAAATGCATATATTTGTGAAATGTTAGGTGTAGCACCAACTGAACATACATTGAGAGAGAATATACTAATATGGTTAGGTTATGTACAACGAATACCCGTAAATTAATGCAACAGTACCATCAAAAGAAATGTTAAGGGGTGGGAAAGACTCAAACTAACTTGAGACACAGTTGTAAAAAATGAAATGAATTTTATTTAATTTAACTAAGCATATAATTTGGCTGAGTGAAATAGCAAAAAAAGATTCATGTGATCAAACTCTACCTGATTGGAATGCAAAAACTTAATTTGATTTGGTAACAAAAACAGTGGACATACTATTGCTAGTAGAGTAACAGAGCATGCTATGCCATGATTAGTGCTAGCAATAACAAAGAACTCTGAATTGACAGTAGACGAGATTATATAAGGACTTCTTTCACCTAGTTAAAATTCTATATATGGGTCCAAATTTACCTTGTCTGGCAGTGCTTGCTGAGATCTTGACAAATAACTTCACTCACTTCTCCTACTTTAACAGATCCTTTCTTTATCAATTCTGCAAACTGGGTAAACCAATTCCAGCAAATTTGACACGATTAATATTGTACAGCATAAACCCACCTTTATGCATAACAGAAAATGAGTAGGGAACGACAACTCACCTCATCTTCTATTTCCTCGAGCAACCTGTGTCACAAAAATAAACAATGGTTAACATAATTATTTTCTAATACAAACTAATTGACATTCAAAACAATTAAAAATATAGGAGCCAAGTCAAAAGGTAAGAAATTTCATAAATGACCCTAAAACCAAGAATTGATAACTTGTTACACGCCTCACCTCCCACAATAACTTGATATATCTTTTGAATAGGCTCGGGCTTCTTGTTGATCTATCAAACCATGAAAAGAAGCAAAGTCCTCAGCAGAAAGGGAAAAAAAAAGAAGACTAGCTGAGAGGAAGCCATTGTCTAGATGTACTTGTCAAACAAACAAAAAAGAAAAAAAAGAAAAAAAGAAGACATTCTCTAAATGATCACAACCATACAAAAAAAATAATAATAATAATAATTACTAGGAAAGTATCACATTTATCTAGCATATCCAGAATCGAAATCAACTAAGTCCCTCAAACGATGTAAATCGATATTTGTGAGATCACTCAATAAGTATGAAATCATAAATTTTTTCATTATGCAAGCTTCTATTTGCTTATGCACATTGAACATGAAGATTTCGATTCGATTACTCCAGGGTCAACAATTTGCACTTTAGTGTTCCACCATTGTCGAACGAATGAATCAAATACTGTGAAAAAACACTGATACCAACTTGTTTCTGAAGCTTTCATCAATGGAAGACTGGAAATGTTGAACTATGCTTCACATACAGCCACCAGGAAATATGCTCTTACACTGCGCTGAGCGATCCTTTTGTGAAATGCATGTCATAAATTATTACACTCCACAACCAATTTATTAGTGGAACTGTTAAAGGATCTGCCTGTTTTTTTTATTAGTATCTTTTACATACCTAGTTCTATGGCACAGAAAGGAGGGCTGTGGTAGGTAGACCTCAAACCCATATTCACATGATCTAACAAACATGGATCCCAAGGAAGGCCAAAAAGGACATGGGTTGAGGTGGTGCATAACAACATTTACCTTCAATTTAAGTAAGGATTTGGTTTTGCATGAGGTTTGACTGGAAAAGATGGATCCTATAACCGATCCCAAGTAATGGGGTTAAGAGATTGTTTAGTTGAGTTTCATCAACATAAATGTAAAGGTATAAACTAGTGAATTTTTTGTTTTTGACAAGGTATAAACTAGTGATTACTAGTATCCTCACACAACATACACTCCAAAGAGTGTAATTTCTTTCTAAAAGTAAATCTACAGTTAGTTAACAACTCAATACCGTTTAGCAACTCAAAGAACTCCAAAATTCTTTTGCAACTAAATCAAACTGCATTGCTTAAAAGATATCCGTTTTGCAGGTCATTTTCTTTTGTTATAGAATCTTGTAAGATAAAATTTTCTTCATGATTTAATTAAATCAAACTAAAAGAACTCCTTTGGATTGATATATTGATTGAAACCTACATATATGTCTTCACCAGTTTCATAACTTAAAGATTTAGATGTTTCAAACCATTGGGTACAAAAAAACGAAAAGAAAAGAAAAAAAATCCTCAATCTTAACATTTGAGGTCACCAAGATGAATGTTGGTTCACCATTCTGGTCTATATAGAGGCATACTCTCATTATGTGATGCACTACATCCCAAGCCCTAACAGACCTTCAATCTGACCAATGTCCCTTTATGGATCACACTATACCCAATCTCCAATGCATGTGATTTACTATGTTACATGATCATAGTGTCTCCAATCAATATAAATTGGTGCTGCCTCCAACTTCTGGAAAATTTGATCATTTCTAAGATCTGTTTTTTCCTTTTCTTGACATACATTCATCTCAACATCCAGATGCAAGCCAAGCTCATTTTACAAACATGCTTCTAACAACCCAACAGTAATATGAAGCATGGGTTTTCATTTAATAATGATATATCTACCTCTCAAAACTCTTGAGCCCCCCTTCACTTCATCCATCCCACTTCGGTTCAATTTTTGCAATCGCCAAAAGACAAGCTTAATCAATATTTGCTAAACCAAGCATGTCATTCATCTCTCATTTATGTCAACAACCATGTAGCAGGGTAACTTCTAAGAGGAGACTTGTTTTACTACATGGACATGGCAATACTTTGACAACATAATAGACATGTTGGATACTGATAAAACACTCAAAAGATTTGGAAAGAAGAAAATAAATACAGTAAACATAGTTGAGAGTCTTGAGACAAACCAAGAATATTGCAGAACACTTCAATACATAAATGGACATAGCACTAAACAAAAGATTATGATAAGATAATATAAGTAGTGCAAAATATAACCATCGGTGTAATATTTGTCAAGTTTATCTTTTGGATCACACAATCCTTAATATAGGAAGACAAGTTAAATAAAAAATTTAAATCCATCTCATCTATAAATATATATATATATATATATTTATAAGTCCATCTCATTTATCATTATAATTGCAGTACATTCATATATTGCTGTGTTTCTTGTGGAGTGTGTGTGTCATAGTTTCTTTTCCTTATTGCAATAAAGTTTCTCTTAGCATATGAGAAAGGAAAAAAGGAAAAAAGCCACCCAAACATGTTAACAGACAGAAACATATGAGAAATGGTAATTAGTTACTTAGCATCAAGCCATCAGCCCATTCTCATCATAACTTAAGTAATTGATGCTACTACCTCACACGTGGAGAGTACTATGCAAATTTTGGCAGCAAACTGCTTAGGCACAAATACTGTTATTATATGTCTTATGAAATAAAAACAGGTTTATAAAATATACTATACGTACTAGTACTGAGGTTATCCCAGTCATCCACTTTGATCCATTCTTGTTTGGTTGAATCTATCTGCAATAGGAAAGAGAAAGCCATCAGCAAATGAGAGACATGAATACTGAATAAATGTCTCTGATGAACACAGAATTTGAATCAACATCTCTTATAGTCTTATTTCAGAAAATATTACTCTCTCCGTCCCAAAATATTAGTCCCTTATTCCATTTTTCATTGTCCCAAAATATTAGTCCCTCTTCAAAAATCAAGTACAAAAATAATATAAATTTTCTATTTTGCCTTTCTTTTAAATTAATAAACAATATAAAAAGTACAATTATGACATTGATATTCCCAAAAAATGTACTATCAAAAGGGTAATTTTGGAAAATCAACTTTTTTAAAATCCACAAATTGTACTACCAAAAAAAGTTGGATTCCCAAAAGGGACCATTATTTTGGGACAGAGGGAGTAGTTGGAAAACTAGCAGCACCAAAAACAGAATGGAAAGTTTATTTGCAGCTGTCGCTACATTGAAACATTCATTCATGAAAGTCACTAATTATCTCGGAGAGATTTTATATGCATTATTTAAATCAGTTGCCACAATATTTTCCAAGGCAGGCAATGCAAAGAAATTGATTTTGCGGAAGATGTGTCACCATCTAAGGAGGGAAAAGGGAGACCCATATAAAGAGAGACTTACCTTTGTAAGAGTGTAGTCTTGCATCTTTTCACAGAGCCCATCCAGAAGTTCAACAACTCTCAGCTCACTGACTCTACTTTCAGCAATTGCACAGGATGCAGTCGTTAGAAACTTATAACAGCAGAAAAACAAAAACAACAGGAAGAAGAAGAAGACACTTGCATCTTTTCACAGAGGACAGCTCATCCAGGAGTTCAACAACTCTCAGCTCTCTGAGTCTAGCTTAAGTAATTACACAGGACGCAGTCATCAGACAGTAGTATTAACCCAAAAACTAAATAAAAAAATACATAGAGAGAGAGAGAGAGAGAGAGAGAGGTGTCCTTTGGTAGTAATGAAATTAATTTCAATCAGCCATCAAGTCCTTGACTCATTTATTTGGTTCCAGCAACAAGAATATTCTATTTAAGTATCTTTTCCAAATAATCTTACTCACATAATACCAATACCTAAACCAGTGTTACCTAGATGGATCGTTCTATCAGGCAAGTCCCATTTCTTCCTGAATGCCTACATTTCTATTTTTAAATAAATGTCGATTCACGGTTTTTCAAAACTCTATTGTACAAAGTGCTACTAACTTCAGTGTTGTATTCTAAGGTTTCTTCTTAGTTTACTTTGAGTCATGCTCTTGATAACACCTTAAACAAGAGAAGACAATTAAATAAAGGGGAAAAAAGAGAAAGATTAAGAGATTTGTTCATATAACTCAGTTCTCAATTCATAAAGCAACACCAGAGCATTTCAGATCATTAAGGTTAGCAATAAAGTAATATCAATAGAAATCCCTAGATAAATGTAAACCTAAAACTCAATGCAATGACAAATGAATAACCAAATAAGCCTTAATCCCTATTACTTGCTATACATGGATCCACCTTCTTTAGTCAGCTTTTTGTAAATCTTTTGCTCGCTCACTGCCTCAGTTCCTTTTTTTTAACCTTCCTCTTATCATTTCAGTACCTTCAATTTGGATCAACATAAGAATGATTACTAAAATCTCAATAAAGTGCAGCAATCAAGTCAGAAACTGATTCCAGTGTTGTTATGGGTCATTGCCTGGACAAAGAGGCACTCAGTAAGTATAACTAGGTGAACAACTATCCAAGTGCTAATTGTACTAGGCACCCACCTATGTTTTTATGGAGCTGCCTATCCACTAGGCATGCACAAACACCCACCCATACATACATACATACACACAAATATGGGAGTGCATACACATTCAGAGTAGCACTTTGTATACCACTATATGAGAAAGCAAACCCACAATTAAATATGGCCGATTACACCGAAACAGCCTTTTACATGCTAAAAATACAAAGCTTTACAAGACAAGATTTTTCTTCATCGTACGTCCTTTTACCAGCCCTACTGCACTAGCCCTTAAAATTTTAACATCCAATCTTCACCATCCTCTATCCTTGTTAGAGCATCACAATAGGAACACCAATATTATTTTTAAATTGCTGCAAAATCCAAGGGCCTACTTCCAAACTGAAACATTAGCACTTGCACTAAAGATAATATGTGATCAGCCACAGGAGTCCCCACTGTGAAAAAATGACTTTAATATGAATCATCAATGTTTTGTTGAATTGGGCCAACATTTATGGTATATCCAGAAAACTGGTGGTTATTGAGCGAAACAAAAAGGGAAAACAAAAAAAGAAAAAGAAAAAGAAAAAGAAAAATGGTTGTTATTCAAATGACTTTATCTAATATGCACAGTATATAATTTATATTATTCACTTTTTCTGGGTAACTCAGGTCAATGCTACCAGTGACAGTTCATTTCTGTATGAAATAAATCAGAATGTAACACCATGGTGCGTAAAAGTATCTGCACTGTGACATTCTAAACTTTACAATCTACGCATACCATATGATGTCAAAGTGGTTCCCAAGTTAAATTAACTCAGCAACTCAACAAAGTCTATCCCAACTAGTTCAGTCAGGAAATCAAGTATATTTCACAGAGTTCAGGTTCATAAAGATCTAGGTATATATTTTGACCAGCTTGTCTACCTAATGCAGCCGGTCTTTTTCTATCTCTAGGCTTGGTACCAATTGACGGAAAAATAAGACATCATATTTGATAAATGAATGTACCAAAATAACATAGATACTATATAAGTTCATTCACAGGTCATGAAAACCACTTATTTTTTACTTCAATTTTCTCTGTAGATAAAGAAATTTTCTAAGATATACCTGTAATCGATCACCTTTCCTTTACGCTGACCTTTAGAGTCCAGTCGATGCCTCATATCCAGATGATTCCTTGGTTTTTCCTGGATAAATATAGAATTATAGTAGGACTATTCACCTAGAGAAGAATGTAAATGTATATATATACATATTTCAACAGCTCTATCAGATGCTCCTAAGACTACATTTTATGGTATGTAGTTTAGTGCAAGGGACTGTTGCAATGACATGATATTTAATATATCTACAAAACAAGAATAAGGTTCTTGTGCTTGCATCTTTAGAAACACTAATAAAATTGGAGGAGAAGTGAATGATATAGAAAATGATTGAACTCTTACATTGGAAAGTCCAAGCTCTATCTCTTCCTGCAAATCATTCAATATAAAAATCAGAACCAGGGTTTTTTACCTACCCATAAAATCATGCAAATTAGCTCTGCAGAAAGTCATTAAAAACTTCAACTTCAGTGTTGTATTCTAAGGTTTCTTCTTAGTTTACTTTGAGTCATGCTCTTGATAACACCTTAAACAAGAGAAGACAATTAAATAATTCAATGGCTTAATCGATCACAACTAAATTGACTTTAACACAAGGAGAAGACTTTAACATAAAAAAAAAATTAAAAATTAAAAATTAAAAAAAAAAAAAATGAGTTTAGGGGAAGAATTAAAAGATCTAGAGTTGTCGATCTAAGCACATAATGGATTGAATATTAGGAGGGGAAATGAGAGAGAGGTTGGCTTTACCGCAACGGCGTTGCAGGCAGAACATTTATCATCAATGCAAGAAGCGACTGAGAAAATGGCCAGAATTGTGAATATGCACAACACCGATTTTCTCATCTTCCTCTTTTTTCCGTGATCCTCCTCCAACGATCCTCTCTCCCCCTCTCTCTCTCTCTCTCTGTTTGTGGCGTAGACCGCCGCAGTCCTTTATTGCGCTTAAACCTCCGTTGGACCCAGGTGGGTTTACCCGCGGTAGGTCCATTGCCCCATTTCATTTCATGGGTTCGAGGTAATTGTATTTCCAAAAATGTTTGACCTAAAAAAAAAAAAAAAAAAAAATTGGCTTAAAAGTTGTTTGGAATGTCTTAAATAAGTGTACTTTTTGTTTTTTTTAGACTAAAAAGTTGAAGAAAAAAATATAGATGTTTGGATTAACTTTTTGACTTTTTATGAAAAAAATGTATATTAAAAAATTGTATAAAGAAGTGGGTAGGAAAATATTTGAGAGGTGTGAGCCACAACTGCAAGTGAAATGGGAGTAAGAAATTATTGGCTATTTTTCGGACATTGCACCGGACGGTTTTGTTCGGCCCATGGGTTTCATCACGGGTCCCATTTTGATAATCTGAACCGTTCAATGTGTAGAACTCGTCGAGTACTATATGTCTATAAAAAATTACGTTGATCCAATATCGATAGCTATCTGATCAGATTTGTTTTTTTTCAATCGTTAATTATAACACCATCCATTTGTTGTACATAACGGATTTGATCATGCCGTTATCGATATCCGATCAATGTGATTTTTCACAGACATATAGTACTCGACGAGTTCTACACATTGAACGGTTCAGATTATCAAAACGGGACCCGTGATGGCCCCCACGGGCCGAACGGCAACCATCTAAAATTACACACAATCATTTCATTTTTGTCAATAAACGCAGCACAGCTCAAACCAAAATTGTACTTTTGTTTAGAAAATTGATTTTTTTTAGTGAATAGTGATAATTTTTTAACTTTTTGAGTAACTTTTTGACTTTTTGTCTTTTTTAGACTATGTCAAACCAGCCCTTATTTTGAAAGTAGGTTAAAAAATAAATTTCTGATTTAAAAAAAAAAAACGTGTAAAAAAGTTAAGAAGTGTTGTGACTCAAAAAAATCAAAAAGTCAATAAGTTGACTTTTAACTTTTGTCAAAAAAGGCCTTTATATTATAGTTTGAGCCATAATAAGGTAGTATGATTTACACACCCAATAATATAAGGTCTATATTTCTTATCATATTATTATGGGTGAATTTGTAAGTCTAAAATATGGATCTCCAATATTATTTCATAAAAAAAAAAAAATTCTTAATATACATCTCCTTATTCTTTTTTTTCTTTTTTTTGAACAAAAAAAAAAAAAAAAGGATACTCTGAGGTGTTATCACTACATCCGTAGGCCCAGACCCCGGGGTAGCTAGTTGCCGGCTTGATTTAACATAACCCAAAGGAAGGGATCCACCACTGAGGCACCAACGGAGTTCAACTACACGCCATAGATGAACCCAGATTTCTAATACTATCCTTATTTTCAATTTCAAAATCTTAATTTTTCTTCCAATCATCCACTCCTCATTCGCTGTCATTACTGCCACTCTTAACCCTTCATCGCCAACCACCGTCACTCCCCAACTCATCATTTTCCATCCTAGACCTCCACAGTCAATCTCAAAAGTGGATGGTTCACTGCGGATAGGTTGTGAGAGTTTATGGTTCATAGCGAAAGATAGTCGTAAGTGGAAAGGAAAAGAGGTAACGAAAGGAGATGACAGAGAAGAAAAGTGGTGTTGGCGATGGAGGATGGTTGTGGTGTTTTAAAATGAAGGTTTGAGTTGACAAAGATAAGGGTATTATGATATTTTTATTCTAAGACAAAATTGTATTAAAAAAAATTTCATTAAGTACGTAAACTATGAGGAATTGATGTGCATAAATAAAATTACCCATGGGTTTGCTACGCTCTATTTTTTTTTTTTTGGGTTAATTATTTTCAACTCTAAAATTTGATTTTTTTTTTAATTAAACAATTTGATCTATACACTCTAAATTCACATTGAACTTATGTGGGTATCTATATTATGCTTAGCACGTGGCAAGCCCTACATGCGTCACATCATCACCACCATACATCCACGTGGCAGACTCATAAGGCACCACAATGAATCGGGGTCATATGCCTAGCCTAAGCGGGGGTATGCACACCACCAAGTATGAAAATAAGGCCACAGCTCACTTTGATAGAGCTGGCTCACCTAGAGCTCTCCATGGCCCTTCATAACTCAAGAAATATATTCTCTACCCACTCACTCCAACTCCATTACAACATAATTGGACTCTTGGCTCACCTATGTTTACCTAGTTTCTTAGGATGAGCCCTTGGCTTACCCATGTACTCACCCTCTTGGTTGCCTAGGTTGGGAGCAGGACCTAGGCACTTCCCTTTGGGATCATTGGAGGATTGTGGATTGGAGGCTAAGACCTCGAGATTGTCAAGGTTGTGTAGCTGTCTCCCTACAGAGATAGCTCCCACTTTGACCTGGCTTAGAGAAAGGGACGTTGACCTTACACTTATATTTGATGCACATATGATGCGCCTCTCAAGATATCATACTTACAGCTACATCTCCTATGATGCAACCTTCCCAAGGACCTGAATCGTAGGACTCGCCACCTGTCTTGAGGTTACTTGGGCTCTAATACTCCTAGAGTCTATATAACGACATCATAAGTGTAGCTATAATAACACAACAAGAGCAACAAGAATCATGTAACATATATTAAGTGTTCAAGGTCTTTTACTGCCACCATTTCCCTCTCTAAGCTTACCTTGGTCTTCTTCTCATCCATCTCCGGTGATCTCAAGCCATTGAAGTGCCTACTATCTTCCCAGAGGTTAATGACCGATCGCCTCAAATCTTTGTCTCCTACATTATACTTCATGGGAAGAGTGGTGCCCACTTCACATGGCATCCAAAAAGAACACTGGAACTGACACAGCGACATCCCAAGGTGGCGGTAGAGAGACTCTGGTAGAGACCTCAGAACACAACCCCGACGGCTTTCCAGGGGAACAATCCTCTCAACCAGTCATAGCGGAATAACTTCGTACATTGGCTGAGAGTGTCACCTCTCTCCAACAGAACCAAAAACTCTTGATGGATGCCCTACTAGCCTTACAAAGGGCATTCACACTTCCATCATCATTTAACCCTCTTTCATCATCACAGAATGATGTTCCACCATTAGCTCAAAATAGCTTAGAGGCTAACCTCGCTCCTCGAAACAACTTGCAAAACCAAGCAAGAGGACAAACAACTATTCGCACCTCCCATCAGCTCTAAGCCAAGCACCCTCGCCACAAGTCGGTTTGGTCGACGAAACCCTTGTCACAGTGGCTTCAACTTGCTCTTCGGCTCTCTCACCAAACCAGGTTCTTTCAGTCTAACCCTTGACATTGGATGTAGTGAAAGAACACATACACAACCTACTCCAAACAAACAAAGGTCACATCCCTACCTTTCCAGAACTAGATCTTCGTCTCCTTTGCTCTATTCATATCAAAAATCTCTCATATCCAACAGGGTACACTGTACCAAAGTTTGTCCGTTTTGAAGGACGAAAAGGGAACGCTAGGGAGCACGTTTCGTGCTTTCTCAATGTCCTTGGTGCCCACCGAGAAGATTGAAATGTTCGCATAAGAGAGTTCTCCAAGTCCCTCATAGATTGGGCATTCTCATGGTATGCCAACCTCGGCCTTAGCTCTATCTCTTCGTGGGAGGACTTGGTGAAAAAGTTCTATATCAAGTTCTTTTACGTCGAAGAAAGGCTAACCACCCTTCATCTTATGAGGGAAACACAACGACTTGGGGAGGACATCCTTGTATATGTCCACTGCTTTAGAAAAAAAGACATTCAAGACCCGATAGAGGAACATCAATTGGTGTCAATGTGCGTCGAAGGGATGCTTACGACTTACAAGCTCCAATTGGTCAACCACCACTTCCTTGACTTTTCTGCCTTATACGCTGCAGCTCGAAACATAAGTGAAACGTAATATCGGGGGTATGAAGGAAAGCTCCATAGCCTTATTCATGGCAAGCAACGGCACCTCCACATTGCTCATGGAGGCCCAACTGATGCAACCATGTCGTATATGCAGCGGAAGGTTCCTCTAGAGGAAGAACAAATCTCCAAGCAAAAAAGAAAAAATTTGATCAAGTTCTCCCACCGCTACTCATCTCGGTGGATGAGGCACAAGCACTCCTCAATGCCTGGGTAGAAGATGGAAAAGTTCATCTCTCTAAACCAAGGTGACTCGCCACCAAGAAGGATCAAGCACGAGCAGACTATTGCATATACCACCGTTCTGTTAAGCATCCTACCACTGAATGTTGGGAGCTCATATCCCCAGTTCCAAATGCTTTGGAGCTACCTCGTCTCTAGACAGAAGATATCTTGAAAGATCATCTCCCTCGTCACAAAGATAATGACAAGACGGTCATGATGCTTTCACATTATGACGAGATAAAAGAACCAATGATGTGTGAGCTCTCTGAGCTCGCAGCTCCTACTTGTTTAGACTTTGAGACCAGGCGTGCGATAGCGCTTAAGAAATTGAGAAAGTTCAAGTGGTTCTTCGACCAATTTGGCTTGTCTGAAGTAACACGTTTTGAAGCTACCAAGGTCTTTTTAAGACTTGTAAAGCAAAATAGTGAGGCATGCATGAGTGTAAACGAATCAGTTAGGAAAGTGTTTCGAGATAACTCCTTGGCAATAACCTTTATCGAGGCAAACAAGCAAGTATCGTTCCCACATAACCGTTTCCTCTACGTCCCAGTGTTCATTAATGAGATGGAGTTTCAAAGAGGATTCATGGATGGAGGGGCTTCACTCAATGGAATGCCCTATTCTACTTTCCAAGTAGCCGGATCTTACAAAAACACCTAGTCAGACAACCTATTTCCATCACCAGTTTTGGAAATCAAAAAATCAAAACCATAGGGCATGTCTAGTTAGACTTAGTAGTAGAGCCAATCCGCTCCACCACTAATTTTCATGTCATAGAAGCTGAGACAACCTATTAGGCTCTCTTAGAGAGAATTTGGCTCCACAGATATGCCGCAATCCCCTCCACCTACCATTAATGTGTCAAAGCAATTTACAACAATGAGGTAGTAGCCATAGCTGTCT